TGGTTGAAGGTAGCCTTAGGTCTCTTAGTGCACTGCGATTTCACGTACATTGGATATAATTCTTGCACCGTAAACGAATTGTTGAATAAGAATAAAATTAATAATGACGTCCGTACATAGACATCAACATTTTCCCCCCTATCGCGTACTGACTCCTCTCATTTTTTGACACAATATTTTTCGTGCTTAAATGTTGTTGTTAACTCAACCACATGAAGTTTTCCTAGTGCCCTCATTTTGAAATTTATCTATTTGAGGTTAGATCTCTAACCTTGCTTGATTTTTATCTTGAAGTTTTCTGCTTCTTTACCCTCTTGTTTCTTTTTTTTTATGAGAATACAACATGAACAGATATGATGTATCAAATATGAAATTAGCATTACCCCAAATGGTTCACTTCATCTTTAATTATTATGGGAATTCCCTGGTTCTGTATCATAATTTTACTCCTTTCTTTCAGATACTGATTGATTATTTATGCTGAGTACAGTAAATTAGGGCTTTGACCAATCATGGTCACCCTGTTGTAAAACAAGTGTCCAAATGGTTGTGTGAATGCAATTTTACAATTGGTGACAAGTCTCCTGAAAGGTGCCACCATGCAACAAGAAGGTAAACCACGTTTCCTCAAGTTCCATCAAGGAAGTGTGCGTGGTGTTGCATTTAGCCCAAGGGTAAGTAATTGTCTTGTTTTTATTCCTTCTGTGCTCTGCCTGAGAATTGTTGATTTCAAACTATTCTTCTCAGGATCGGTATCTCTTCTGCTCTGGAGCCTATGATGGAAAAGTTAATCTCTATTCAGCACTACGCATGGAACTGCTTATGTGCTATCAAATTACAACCATGACATTAGCCCGTAATGTTAATGCTGTCAGATTCACATCTGATGGGTCTAGGGTAAGTGCATCAAGAAATAATTGTAATTGCACCAATGTAAATTACCTATGATTTTTCATTGATTTGTTTTCTATTGGTATCCCATTAGATTTTGGCTGCTACCACTGCCAGACGACTAGCAGTTGTTGATGTTGAAAGAGGGGAGCAACTTTTGGCATATGATAACTGTGCCTATTCTGGCAGAGATCGGACTGGTTTAGCTGCTGATCCTGTTTGCCCAAATATGGCTGTTGTTGTTGGGGCCAATGGAAAAGGGCTTACACTTTTAGACCTACGCATGCCTTTACCTTTGGACTTTGTTTATGATGTTAGTCCTATTTCTGTATTTCATGTTACACAAATAGCCTTTACAAACTGTGGACAAATTACAAAATTAGTAACTGTGTGGGTTTTGTTGCAGCTGCATGGTAGCATAATACGAGACATAGTATTTCTTCACTCCTCATGGCCATGGGCCCGAGGACAGTCTGGTTCAATACTAACTGCTGGTGGAGACGGTACTTGTAAAGTTTCAACAATTGATGGCAGAGGGCTGCATCAATTCCATGCAAACCATCAGGTCAACACCATCTGCCCAACTCCAGAACCTTTCAATCAAGGAGCAGAAGATGGATTTTACAGTAAGTCACTCATATTTTCCAAAACAGAAACTAGCCTTGTTTCTTCTCTCTGTTTTATTTTGTCTCTATTAATTATAATTTTAGGCCTCATCATGAGTGGTGGAGATATGGTGTCGTCGTATGTGCCTCATACTGGAATTCAAGAACATCTCAAAGAACACAAAGAAAACGCTGTTTGGAAACTTAGGTAAAGCCAATAAAGCACTGCTGAGTATTTGACACAAGTAAAAGATAATAAAAACCACCACCTGATTGTATTACTGTTTATTAGGTATACTTCCAATGGCAGTCTTCTATATTCTGTGTGTGAAGGTGGTGTCTTAAGAAGGTACAGACGCTATCCAGATCATCATGAATACCTTGGAGAGGTCTTTCGACACAAAGATGACATCCAAGACATGGATATCTCTCCCTATGATGAATGTATCCTTTTGATTCTTGAAGTAATCAGTATATTTAAATCCATCAGTGTTTTAGTAAAATTATCCTTAATAAATATTTTCAGATCTTATTACAGCTTCAAAAGATAGGTCAGTTGGAGTTCTACGGTTAGGTGCTCCGAACCATGGATGGACGGAATACAGTGAGCTAACTTAAACTCACAAATTTTTAGTCTGTTTTTTTCATTAGCTAAGTTTCTAGGATTTCTATTATATGTATTTGGCTGACAATGGACAATGGTAGACACAATGAAAATTAAGATTGTGCTCACTGCCCTTGTGAAATTTTGTGTACTTTGATAAAATCAGCCAGTTTTTCAGGCTATATTATCATTAGCTTCTTAGGTGCTGTAAAGATGATGGCAATGCATTGTTAATGCATCATTCTGAAATGGGAGGTTATGAATGTAAAGAGTATTTACCTCTTTCTGCAAGGTAAGTTGTCCAATTCTGACATAGTCTATCTTGAAGGACCTATCCAAATTGTAGAAGCACTTACCCATGCAATGCCAGGTATTCAGTTTTTGTTTGTTTTGTTTGTTTGTTTGTTTTTTTGTTTCCTTTGTTGCTTTTTTCAAATTTTATTTTTGAGCTGTCATTGGAATTTTATTTTATTGAACTCAAAGCGCTACTCAAACTCCTAAGTTACCTTGTGAAAATTTTGATAGCTCTATAGAGCAGATAGTGGCAATTTTGTTAATTTTTCTGGGTTATTTTGGTGTATGAATTTTCTCCAAATTAAATTCATGTAACATATATGTATTGTCTACTTAACTTGGTGGAGGATATGTTTATGACCTATAAATTATGGTGTAATGATAAGCGGGTGTTAATTACCATCAGAAAGTATGGTTTAATCATAATTCTGATTCTTCATTTCCACTTGCAACAATATTTCAAAAATGTCTGTGGTGTTCTAGCTGTGTGTTTTTGTTTTTCAATCTCTTGTTTATTTATCATGCTATCCGAATTCTTCCTTTTTACAATATTTACAAATCCATTGATTGCTGTCTTGCTCAGTTTTTTACACAAGATAAGATTTTACTGATCTGATACCTCCTGGAAGTTTAACTTAGTGGTGAAAGAGATTTTGTATCTCCTCAAGTATAATTTGTATCTTAGTCTCTTGTTACATAAATCAGAATATCTACAGTTGGGTTACTTTTGACACAATAACATTTACTGCCTCTAAATGTTTTTTCATTCTGTACTCTCATGTCTGGAAACCAGGGTATTAGTTTGCTTGCTGTCTCTTGAATTTTTTTTTTCACATCCCTCCATTTTATTCACTTATGAGACTATGAAGTGAACTTGATTAGATCTAGTTATTTTGGTTTCAAGTAACCTAGCTGATAATGATACCATCACTTTAACAAACAAATGATGTATAAATTTTTTAACTGTAAGTTTATATGTATGACTTCAAGTTGTAGTGTGCCTTCATATTTGAAACAGTACTGAAAATTACCTCTTTGAGGAGTATGTTGACTGTGTAATAGCCATATGAATTATGGAACAAAATTCAGAAAGTATATGGAAAAGTAGCTCTTATTTCATGGTCTAACTTTTTCTACTACCACCATACTGTTTTTTGTTTTTTTTCTTTATAAAAAAAATTGTTTCCCATATTGATTGTACATTTTCTGGAGTGATATCATGCTGTTCATTATTGTATTGTAGCATTTTGACTGGGAAGGGCTATATTATATAATTCATTGTGATAATTTGTGTTCTGGGAATACTAAATTTTGTCTTAATTTAGATTAATTCTCAGTTGTAACACATAAAGACTTCTTTTTGGACTTGCCTGCCTCTCTTTCATCTAGTTTTCACCATGTGAATACTTAGAGAACTTTCTCAATTTTATTATGTCTTTCAGATATGTATGATAATTTGTTTTGCTGTAAATATGTCCTAATACAAGAATAATTGTCTAGTCCAAACTGTTTGTCCTCTCATCTGATTTTCTGTCTCATTTACTTGAATTAGAGCGAGAGCCGTGTTCAACTATTTAAGTTGTCCTGGTTCTAAGAATACTGCTGTTGACATAAGCAAAACATCTTACTGGGACTTAAACAATTTGTGATTTCTTTCCAAACCCTAGCATTACCAAAGTTGAACTGTCTCATGACGTGTGACCAGACCACAATGAACAGTTACCGAAATCGTCAACTAACTGTCCAAGTCCTAAATTCACTGCCACTTTTGTAATGAGAGCCGGATGCTGCTTTCCACCTTTCCAATTTTTTGATTAACCCTTTGGGCAGAACTTAAAAATGTTTCCATTCAAATCAATCGTCATTCTTTGCAAAGCTGCTGCTACTTCATTTTTCATAACGTTTTCAATTTGCCCATGCTGGTTAAGTGTTCGATCTTTATCTCTTTCTGGCCAGCTAGTAAATTTTGATTGTGTTTCATCATTTCATTTAGGGACCACTTTGTTTTGTCTTGCACAGCAGACTATTTGATTGCCAGTTTGTGCACTTTATATATGTTATTTCTTGATGAAGAAACTTTATGCTGTTAATTAAATGAAGCTGTTAACATATATATTTATATAGTATTTTAAAATTGTACATTGATAAGCATAGAAGTTCAAGTGTATGTAATCACAAAGTCATCATATATTACCTATATAGCACACTTAACTATGTCAGTAATGAATTTTTAGTGTTTTACTCTATGTAACTTTTGTGTTACTAATGCTTTAGACTCATTAATTTGGGCTTATTTGTAAAACCGTAACTATAGAGTGTGAAGGATTTTTCTCCCTCGCCTGAGCAAATAGATTTCAAATCCAGCCATTCAATCAAGAAATGTTAAGGTTGTCAGAGATTTACAGGGTGGTCCATAGACCCCTTCCTTTATTTTGCTTATACTGTACCGCATGCAGTTTTGAGGGCGGGTTGCATACTCACACGCGGCCATAAGGCGCCGTGGGGAGCGACGGTAGGAAAGCCCACTCGCACGCCTGTATGCGGTACAGTATAAGCAAATAAACGCTGGGGTCTATGGACCATCCTGTATATTTGTTTAATATTGACTATGAACTCACCATGGTGTGGATATGAGGTTTGGTACTAAACTAACACACATGAAGATCTTGCAAGCAAGAATTCTCTTACCTCGTCTTTTCTTGGCTACAATTATTTATGATTATATTTAATTTCATTCCCATATTAAGATCAGTACCGTGGACCAAAAGTCAAAACAAAAAGGCAAGAGCTGTTTTTTTTTCTGTCAGTTTGATGTAGTGGATACAGTTGGTGTATTCTTAACATCTCATGTTTATTCTTGCTTGGAAAAATCTTTTAGCCTTTGTTTACTGAAGAAATAGTTGACATAACTCATGCTTCTTGAAGAAGCTATTAATCAATAAAACCAAATATGAGTATGCCCAGATTAAGCATAGCATTAGTAAAATACTTATGTTAATTTTTTCTTTCAATTCACTGTCTGAGGACTTACAGTACCAACTGTATATTGAGGAAAATAACAAAATGTAGTACAAAGATGGAAAAGATTTATCAAGTTGTTTGAGTATACCTTTTCCAGAAAGTATCATCAATTTATGTTCAGTGTTTGTCATTCATATACAGCCTCTAGTGCAATACTGACTGTGACGTCACAAAACAATTCATATTTTCTGTTAACTATGCAAAGATGTACAGATATTTTATTTCTAGTAAATTTTATTATGTAACATTTAAGATATCTATGTTGTTTATTTGTTTTGGTTAATGGTCCTTTCTGCAAAAATTACTAAGAAGATACTGTGTGATGAAATGTTTTATAAGTCTATAGAATTTTAGGATATTGATTACTTGTGAATGTAAAGGGAAGTAATGTGTTCATAATATTCTAGGTAGAAAATCAGAGCTTATTTTGCCTTTCCTTGTGAAGGTGTTTTAGCAATATTGTATATATGTGTGTAGTTGGGTTTCCCATAGAGCTGAAGGGATGCACCTATAGTATTGTTACCAAAATGTGATGCAATCCAAACTCAATAGCAGTTATAGATTTTCTTAGACTGGTGATAGGTCTGAGAGTTGTTACCTTGCGTCTTATCTCAAAATTTTAATCGCTTCTTGACATGCCATGAATGGTAATATGTGAGGTGCTTGTTCTTTATTATTCCTCCTATAACAAAACAGTAACATTATCTTAATCTGTTTTAGGCTTTATTTTTTAATTTTTGTAACATTTCCTGCAAAAAGTCTGCAAGCGGGGTTGCAGAAAATCAATCAGACTGATTGTGATAACTTAAATAGGGTTTCATAAAGGACAAACAATAACAAAAGTTTTCTAGATGTTTGAAACTTCAAGCAAATTTTTCAGTAGTCGTTTTTACAAGAAAATCAAAAAGAACTTCGTTTTCTGTAATCAACACAACCCCCAAACCCATATGTGATTTTCTCAAAAAGCAATTCTTTCTTATATCAAGCAATAAATTGATGTAGCAAATATATGCATCGGTGGAATCTGTAGCATTTCTTAATAAATA